GGACAGAAAGAAATATGAGTTTAGAAAACATTTTTACTTTTCTTCATATCTATCATACCTTTCAGTGAATATATCTATCATGTCTTTCATTGAATATATGTATGTCTGTATATGTCTATATGATTAATATACGATTATATATTATTATAATCATATAATATATGATATTAATATATGATTAATATATATGATTAATGTTTAATTTTTCCACAATGAACAATAAGTTTTTCCTGCAGTGACATTTGAAGTTTCCAGGAAGAAGATGGGGCCCCATAACAACAACTCCACCTGGTTGAGATGACATCATGATACTGATAGCACTACTACAAGACCTGTTTTGGGTACCAGATGCACAAGACGATGCCAACGTGGTTAGCTGAAATGATGCACATCTTGTACAACATTCTGGCCAGACCTCCACAAAATACTCAGAGACTATTTGCAATTTTAAAAGACATTGATCTTGAAATTTAACCATCATTTTACTTTCACAGGATCCCCCAGAAAGAACGTCGCCCCCATGACAGCTGGAAGTAATTCTAGAGAACGACGTCCCCTCTCCCAGTAAAGTTTGTCCTTGGGTTTAGGGACATCATTTAGGGGTTGGTTATAATTAGTATAGGGTTGAGGGTTGGGGGAGAAATTTTATAAGCGCAGGAATCAAAAAAAAAAAAAAAAAGAGGGATAATTGGATTATGGGATAATAGCTTTGTACTTGTGAGTTATTGTTTTTAGACAAATATATTGGTATTGATTCTTATATATTGATACAAACTTAAATTATGTTGACTATTTTAGGCATGCATGCTTCTACCTCTGTTTAAAACATTTTTATGTATTGACATATATATATTGTATTGATATATGTATATTTTACCATATTGCATTGTACACTTCTACCTCTGACTAAGATACTTATATATTGTTTATGTATTGATATATATATTTACCATATTGCAATGTATACTTGCACATTGTTTATACTTGGAGGTTATATTGTCCCCATTTATTGCACAGTTGTTTACTATTTCAGTCTTTAAGTTAGATAGATATTGAGAATAATATAGATCAATAGTCATCTAAGTTTGTCATTTATAATTAGACTAATCAGGTTCTTTAGATACATAGACATTATATTCAGTATAGATAGATAATCTTCAATCTCTTCAAAGAGCTGTAGAAAATGGCCTTTAATCTAACTCAGAGTTCTGTGGTAGGGAGACACAATTGCTCCTGGCAACACTGATCTATTCCCGAGAGAATGTTGAGCACCAAAGACACTCCACCTGGAGCCTTTCTTCTTGGCAGAACTGGCCTTTGGGTAAAGAAATGCCCATACCTCAACTACTGACAGAGTTACAGAGTATCCGTAAATGGATAAAACAGGACTGTCATATCCTGCCAAGACAGGATAAGATAGTTTTGAAAAGTTCCTTGCATTTGAAAATGGTATGTCAGTTACGTTAGGCCAAAGTTGGTTGCTTCAACGCTGCAAACGTGATTTTGGGTGTTTGCCCAGGTAGCCAGTTGTCTGTGTGATTTGTTACATGTTCTGGAAGTTTGATTGCACTTCCTAATTACTCAGGTAACATTATTTCCCTTCTCAGATCTTTGATGGGATTGAAGATTATATAAACGTAGTTACTTTCTTTTCATGACGTGGCCAAGTTATTTCTTATACAAGACTTAAGCTAGTTAGAATAGGATATTTGTATTTATTGTATATAATTGTGTAGGTTTGTACTTACTGTATATAATTTCGTAGTAGGCTTAGAACTCTCTTACTTAAACAAAAGGGGGAGGTGTTGTGGGAGTAACTTCCGCTGCCTCAATCAATAGTCGCTGAAATACGAGCCCACAGTGCAGCGGGGAGCGACTTCCGCTCCGTCAGCCAATAGCTGCTGAAATACCAGCCCACTGGGGCGTGGTATATTTCTCTTTTAAAAAGAGAAGCATATCCGGAATAGGCCCTCTTGGTTCTGGCTCTTGGTTCCGGTGCTCGGTCTCAGCTGCTGCTCCCGGCTCCTGCTCCAGCGACTAGGCTCCCTTCCTGACGGTTTATGGTGTATGTAAGTTTTACCCCCCGCCAAATAAATAACCCCTTAAAACATAACTGGTGTGGGATTGATTCGTTAATAAGAAGCAGTCTTTTAAAAAGTAGTCACCAGGGAAGGTGAGCTTGTGGTCTTTGCTACAGATGCACTGTAAACGCTTGGGTCAGCCTAACCAGTGTAGTTATCTGCTCATTACCTTAGACAGCTTGGAGGACAAACTCAGCAGAGTTTAAAATAAAAACGTCCCAAGACAGGCAAACTATGACTCTCAGAAACATTCTGGAGAAGGAGGATGAAGAGAAAGACAAAATAGGCATGCTGTTTAAGGCAGCGTGGAGGTCAGATCGTGGCATGCCGGGAGCACGTGCAAAGCGGGGGAACTTTCGAGGAAGAGTAAGGAAGCCCAGACAGCACGTCTGAGTTCTGGCCAGCCTCTGAAAGAAACAGACAGGGAAAGGAAAGGTTACACCTTTCTTAGGACACAGAAAAGCAGGCAGGTCCAGTTGAAACTTCATGGCCGCTTGGCTTGTGGGGACTCCACTCGGGTGGATATTCCAAGAAAGAGAATCATAGCATCTCAAAAAAGGCAAATTATCCAAGTAATCTTGTTCATAGGTGAAGGTGAGTCCACCTTCCAAGGAGTAATTCATGGACCAGGTGACACACCCACCAACCGGAACGTCATGTGTCCACACAGGCCAGAGATTGTATTGTAGCAGATCCTGACTGGTTCTCTTAGATGCCCTCACTCTGAAGTCATTTAAGATCTAGTTAAAGAATTGGAGCCTTAAACACTTCTGGCATCTCTGACATCTGTCTAGAGGCTCAAAGATATTTCTTGCATTTAGCCAAGAAAGAAAGTGATAACCTTTTTTTGTAGTTAACATTATTTAAATACATCTTTAAGTGAGTTTGAAATTATTGTTGACTACAGTTATCTTGCCATGAAATCAGTCTGGTTTATATTGGAAACTTTATATGTGTGTCAGATCCTGTCTTAACTCTGATTGGAGACAGAGTCAACCAGAGATTAAGTCAGTTCTTTGTACACTGAGCTCTTTATTGCTTTGGAACCTTTAAAGATTATTACGATTTCTGTTGTGCTTAGTATTGTTTCCTCTAGCATTGGTGTCTTTAAAGTAAATATCTTAGTCATTGACTTGAGCACTCCTTTGTTTCTGAATATGCCTATGATGTATTAAAATTTCTCTTTAAATACTGTTTTTGCTGTACTCCACAATTTCTGATAAATTTTCTTATTTTTTAATTAAGTTTTTACCCAATTTTCCATGACCTTAATCTATAATAATCTATGGATTATTTAGATTATATTATTTAGTTATTGGGTTACTTAGTGTGCATAGTTACTGAGTGTATTGAGAAATGATTTCCAAGTTTGTTTTAGTTGTTAGAGAAGATGTCTTGTGTCTTAGTTACTGTCCTATGGCTGTGAGGAGGCAACATGACCAAGACAGCTCATAAAGTAAAACATTTAACTGAGGCTAGCTCACAGTTTCAGAGGGTTAATCCCTGATCATCGTGGTGGGATCATGGCAACAGGCAGAGGCATGGTAGCTCTGAGATGGGGCAGAGAGAGAGCAAGACTGGGCCTAGCATGGAATTTTGAAACTGACCCTAAGTGGTAAATCTCCAACCAGAGGCATGCAATCCATAATGAGGGATGTGCTGACCACGAAGACACCACTCAGAGCTATGCCCAGTGACAGCTTGAGGTCCTCCGGACACACAGTCCTTGAGACTTTGCCTCTCCAAGGCTCACTCAGGCATGGCTTTGCCAGCCCCCCAGTTGTGTTTACTGCCTGTTGGACCCCTCCCATAGCCCCACAGCTCGCCTTCCATATCGTCTTCCATCAGCTGAGCTTAACATTTAGGTTGAAATATTGTTTATGTAAGTTGCCCTTTAAAAACAAATGCCTGTGGTAACTTGTCTGTCAGGGTGATAGGTGAATGCTTGTCACATGACGTTTCTAAAGATGGAGCCCTTCAAATTGCTGTCAAAGGACATCTTAAAACCACTTACAGTTTTACTTAAATATATTTGATTACCTATTATGACTCATACTATAGGTCATAATTATGTTTCTATATAATAGAAAAATTATACTACAATGTAAAAAACAAAATAATGAATAGAATATTGAAGTCTACTTCTGCCTCCCCTTCTTCACCCCCTACCATTTTCCATTTTCTTATTTTCTCTCCACTCCAACCTATCCCTTGCCTTATTTCTTTTTTCTTCCTTCTTTTAAAATGGCCCTATGTACCATTCTAGCATTATAATATTTTTGTGATTTTTGTAGCTATGTTTTTACACACTGGTGTCCTCCTTCATTGGCTCCTCAGCTCAGACAGGGATATAGCATTCTATAGTGGCATGTTTGCACCACTGCCTTGCACATCCCAGTGACATTGTACTTGATGCATGTTGCTTTGCTATGCCCCAGGAAAGGCTGGGGAAGACATGAGACTATGGGCAATATCACAGAAAGCTGCGATCATAATGTTTGCATGCATTAAAAAACAGCTCTTAGGAGTGGGGAATGTAGTCCATAGAAGAGGTTGTGTTTGAAGAAGAGTGAGAATTGGAAGGTTTCCATGGAAAAGTGAAACTCTGATGTACTGTCACACGGCTTTTTAAGACAGACAGCAACAGTCAGGGTTGTGTGCTGGGTGCAGAGCATACCTTGTGCATCACTTCTGGGTTGGTGCACATGGTTTGAAGCTGCACTTTCTGAAAGAATTTTGCTACAGTATTGATTTTAATATCTGTCAGTACAGTAGCCTTCCTTGAGTCTTATTTTGTACCATGTTGCAGTTACAGCTTCTTAGTATGCTGTTGCTTGCACTTCCTTCCTCGGAGGAATTTATAGCAACTGTATTCTTGCATGGATTAACAATTCATCTTTTTCTCTACTTTTGCTGTAGGATAAGAAATGGATTCTCAATCATGAAGATGTTACATTGGGAGCACTATTGGGCAAGGTATGCCATCAGCTGTACTAAATAAGACATTTTGATATTAACCATGAACACTTTGTATTGCTATTCAGAGCATTTTTTAATATTCTGTCACATGTCAAGGTACATAAATACTAATTAAGTAATTAATCTATAAGAAGATGGTATCGTATCTCCTAGAAATCTTCTGACTTTCGCTGAGGTAGATGTGTGGTGATCTTTGAAAGGCTTGTGATGATTCTTATCTTTAAAAATAGTGTATATTTTCCCTGAAAGGTCAGAGCCGTAGTAATGGTTTTATCAAAACCAAAAACTGTTGAATGAAGGAAAGAAGCTATGAGGTAGTGAAAGTTTCATTGGACCTTCAGTAGTCACTCTGCTTTCAGTTGTACTCAGTAATTCAGAAAAAGTAAAGTATTGCTTCTTGGACCATCAGGAAAGTTCATAACCCTGCAGTATTCTAACATAAAAATAATGTGGGCCAGGAGCATGGTGTAGGGTTAGCAGTGCTTCCCTTAAGCCTGGCCACCTGAGTTCAATGCCAGGAACCTACATGACCTCTACATGTATGCTGTGGAACATGTACACTCCCCCACAGGAGAGATGGGGGCAGGAGAAGAAATATGTTTATCTGGAAGAAGTATAAGTTTATCTAAATATTGTGAGCAAGATGTGTTTTATTTCAAATACCTATTTTGAAACTGGCTATGTCAGTGGTGGGTAAGGATGAGTCTTAGACAGTGAAAGTTCCTTTTCCTGCTCTTTTGTTTGAAGTTTCCTCCAAGTCACAGTCCATATTGAAATGCATTATTTCCAACAATAAAGGCAGTCTCGTCAAATAGACTCTTCACAGACCTGCCAATCATTATTATTCAGGTTCTAGTGCATAAATAATAGTTTGTCAGTGACTTAATTATAGACATTTATATGTGAAATTTGAATTGGGTGTAGCTTCCTGATGCACTGTGAAAAATTAGATAGCAAATTAGATAACTATATCTAAAGTAAAGTTTAGATATTGTTATTGGTAAGTTTTTATATAATTTGTGTGTGATAAGTGCTAGACTCAACTGAGGTCTGGCATTTTAAGTAAGTATTAAATGATCCATTTTTATTCAAAAGTGATCATGACCATTTCCTCCAGTTTTCAAAAAGCATGCAGTTCATTGAAACCATAGATCCTTGCTGAAGTCCTCCCCTTGTTAGGACTCTTAGCACTTGCTGTTTAAGTGCTTTTTCCAAATGGGAGCATCTGGTTGCTGCTGAAAAACAGATATTATTTGCCAATAAATTTTAGTAAGTTAATTTTCAAGAACCTAAGCTAAAAGAGGCATCTATGTTTATTCTGAGGTGCTCTCCTAATTCAGAAGGAAATAGTCTTAAATATGGTAACAATATTGCTGGGATAACCCAGCAGCAGTTTGGTCCAAATTTATTACAAAGAGAATAATTTCATTGAAAATATAGTTAAATGATAATTTCAAACCTAAAACACTGAAGTAGACTATGTTTACAAGGACAGATTTTTTTTTTAGTACTAAGCAAAAATATTTTTAATTAAAGAAAATGGTCTGATTTTTTAATTGTTTGTTTGGAGACATGTATGGCCCTGGCTGTCCTGGAACTTGATATGTAACCAGAATGGCTTTCTTACTAAGGCTGTTTCATAGAATATTTACTTTTTAATGACTAGGCATGAAAATCTCAACAAGTTTAAATATTTTAAAGAAAATTTTTTTAAAAAGACATTATTTGGTGTTACTTTTGTGTTTTTAATACTGGAACATAATTTGTCATTAATATTTTACTACCTTTTCTAAATATTTTTTGTACACTGAGAATGCATGAGTAGTTAAAAGAGAACCAGACTTTTCAGTAGTGATTGTTAAGTAATGAAGGAGTTTAACTTCTTCATTCAGTACCATAGCCTTAAACCGCAATTACTCTAGTGTTGCCTTTTTAAGTCATCCAACACTTACCATATGCCTGTGATGTATCGCACTCTCCTGGGTGCATGGTGTATGTACAACAAGCAGAGAAATCCCTTGTCCCCATAGTGCTTCTGCTCTGACCAGCAGGGGATGGGCAACAGTGAAGCACTGAGTCCTGAGAAAAGTGGAGTGGCTTGGGGCTGCCTGTTAGTCAAGTGTTGTCTTGTCGTTCTTAAAGGAAATAGTCTAGGCAGATCTTATTACTGATTACCTTTGAATTAGAACTTGCCAGAAACACCACCACAGCTGCCAGTGAGGGTTAGGCAAAGTGATTAGCCAGTGCAGAACTCACCTGCCCAGGAAAAGACTCAGTTTGGTTGTGATCAAACAAGTAAAGGGAATTATAGGAGGAAGAAGTCATCAGGATGACGAAGATGCACATGATACAATGCCTGCCTGGGTTTCCTAACACCTTCAACTCCTAGCACAAAGGATGTGGAGCTGGCAGGTGACTTCCAGGAGAGCAGCGTGATTACACTTTGGGAAGGTGGCTCTGGGCATTAGGCAAGAACTGCAGTTAGATAGTGAAAACTGGTGCTAGGGCAGGGTTGCAGCTAGGAGGAAGTAAATTTAGATACATTTTGAAGCTGAACCAGTTGTATATCTTAATGGATGTTGTAGGGATTGAGAGACAGAGGCCAGCTCTAAGTGTAGCAGGTTAAAAGTACGTGACACATCAACTTTATTAGATTTCTGCAAGGCAGTGAGGAAAGCCAGCTGAGTAACAAGTGCTGAGGTTAAACAAGATGACTATTCCAGATATAAATAGAGGGTAAGAACTGAGCCCTGGTCATTCCAGCACCAAGAGGCTAGGGGAATAAAAAGCAGTCCTCAAAAGAAGTTGTAGAAAAAAAAAAAAGCAAACAATTAGGAAGGCAGAAAACCAGGAGCTGTTAGCTGTTATTAATACTTAGAAACTAAGAGAAGCTAAAACAGGGAGGGGAGAGACCGCTGCCTGGTGTCAGGTGCTGGAGGGGAGTCAGGGTTTGCAAGATGCTAGCAGTGATGACTAGGCAGTTTTGTTGCAGCCCAGGCAGGCTGATTTAAGAGAGGCCTGAGATTGGTAAGGCTGTAACTCCGACTCTGCCGCTAAAGGAAGCAATGGCATGGGCAGCGCATCGACAGCGATTCTGTAAGAGAAAGAACGGCATTTGGTCTGTAGCTGGGAAAGAACTCATTGAAGGCTTTCGGGGCTGCACCATGTAAGGACCACATGAAATGCTCGCAGTTCATTAACACATAGACTCTGTGTTGCATCTGTGACTCAGGGAGGAAGATGGCAGGCAGATATGTGACTGAGAGTCCAGTGATTTCGTCGGGATTACTTTGGGGTTTGTTTTATTTTGTTTTTGTTTCAGAAGCAGCAGCAGCAGCTAAGAATGAGAGGAGTGTTGAAAAGAGAGTAGAGTGCAAACCAGTTACCTGAAAGACTGGGATTGCAAGTGATCTAAAAAGCGGCCAAGCCGTAGTAAGGGCCGCAGAGGTTTTTGTCGTGAGTTTACAGTTGATGTGGTGGCGGGGCTCAGGGCTTTAGCCATGTCAGAGTGGCATGACACTTGAGTTCAAAGGGAGTATTCTCAGTGGGTGACAGCCATGATGAGGGGTAGTGGAGACAAAGTCTCGAAGCTGGGAAATATAAGAACAGAGGACAGAGTTCCGGCTTAAAGCCAGTAATAAGAACCTGAGGGATACTGAAAAACGAGCTCCTTGAGAAGGTGTTGGTCATATTGATCTTTTCTGCAGTGTGGATTTCTTCTCTTCTAAATCACTGACTATAAGGCATATGTATCAAAGTAGATGCCGGCTATAGACGAATGTTATCAGTGTTAGTTCTCCACTGCTGACACTGACGCTTGAGTGAGCCTCCTTTCCACCCTGGCCGACAACCTGTGTCTGCAGCAGACCTGCAGTTCTCTCTCAGAATCTTTGCTTTATCTTTAATCACAGTGGTCTTAGTTTAATAAGATAGAGTGCTTAAGGGATAGAGTAGTCGGTGGGAGAAACCCTCTATACTTATGGCCGTGTTAATGTGGGGTTCTCCTTTTGCCGAAGCCAAGCAACAATTTTTTCTCTAGTGAAAATTACCCTGTGGCCCTGGAGAGGGCTGTTGCCCGTAATTCCTACGGTTTAAAGACAGTAATAAACAGCACGGTAGTTCGACTAACTCAAAATACTTCATTTTATGCTCTCTTGAATTTTTAGCAAAGATTTGCGGGTTGTCAGATATGTCCAACAATGCTTCTATCCTTTTCAGGGGAATTTTGGTGAAGTATATAAGGGCACACTGAAGGATAAAACCGCAGTCGCTGTTAAAACATGCAAGGAAGATCTTCCTCAGGAACTAAAAATAAAGTTTCTACAGGAAGCCAAGTGAGTTCTTTAAAATAATATAAAATTTGTGTTTGTAATTCACTGTGTTGATCAATCTGCTGTATTAAATTCACTGTGAGGTGAGTGTTAAAGCATCTCCTGAGCGCTGATTTGCTAAAGTAGAATCAGCACCTTTAGGACCTTCTTGGAGTGAGCACTTTCATGGTGAGGGAGCAGTTTCTGGTCTGAGCTGGCCTGGAGACCAGTCAGTCAGGCATGGTAGCAACGGACCATCAGTAGCGTAATTATCTCCACGTCCTTAAAAGCCTTGCAGCATTGTTTATTTTACTACGCATATGTGTTTATATGTAGTGCTGTAGTTACATTTGCGTATCTCATATATACCTTTAGCTGTATTTACATATCTTGTACTCTTTTTGGGTATTATACATTTGGTTCCTTTCTCAAGAATCTCAGATTTCTTTTTCTGTTTTGTGTCTGTCATTTGTTTAAAAAAAACCTTTCTTTTTTAAGGTGACTTTCTTCTCTACATTATATTCTTAACTAAAATTGAATGGTCCATCTTACCTATCCTTGTTCTACAGATAACTAAAACTAATCTGCCTGTTTATGAGATCAATTATACCGATCACATATTTAAAAGTGAAAGTATAATATGAGCAGGGTAAATTAAATAAAAGTATGAAGGAAGGATGGGTGAGGAGATCAGGAGACGGCAGGGTGAGGGAGCTAAACACATCGCGTGGATGTCTTTATGCACGTCTCTAGTCATAGTCTAAATATGTCTGTGGCCATGGAATAAAGTTAAATACTAAATACTTAAATGCTGTCTGAGGAATGAAGTTGTAGTCTTTTCATGTGCGTTATAGGAAATTCTGTGGACAGTCAGCAGGTGTTTAACAGTGCTTCAAAACATGTTTCTTACTTTTAAAATTGTGATTACTTTGTAAATTAAAAGGTTTAATTTATTTTAACTGAAATTATGAAGTTTGATATTAGAAATATAAATTGTGCTCACTAAATCTTCTGACTATTCCTCCATAGCCATCAGCTGTATATAACTGGCTGTTCTCACATCAGCTACATCATATAGCTGGCTGTTCTGTGCAGTTTCTTTACTGTCTTTCAACATTACAAACGTCATTTTGGTTTGTTGTTGTTTTGTTTTTGTTTTTTTATTTTTGTTTTTTCTGGTTTTTTTTTTTTTTGACAGAGTTTTTCTTTGTAACTCTGACTGTCCTGAAACACTCTTTATAAACCAGGCTGGCATCAAACACAGAGAGAACTACCTGCCTGGGGTTAAAGAAATGCTCTACCACTGTCCAGCAACATTTTGTATTAAAGTCAAATATTCTTGAAACTTGACTTTTAATTTCTATTAGAAAATTTGCTAAGTCATTGCTAGTATTTTCTTTATCTATAGATTTTTTTCCTAGTTTATTTTCATTTGTGGATCATTATTTTAAATCTAAAATGTTTCCCTTAAAGTTTGTTCTTTATTTGTGTATGCACAAAATATGTTTTTTCTAGTTATTCTTTTTTTCATTTTCATATGAAAGAATGTGGCAGTTTTCCCAGAGGAGTGAATTATAATATCAGGGTAAAAAGGGTTCTGTTCTGTTTTTAATCCATGCTTGAAGTCCTGCTTAGGGATGTTTCCTACTGTGTAACCTCTACTGAAATACTGTGCTTATTCAAATGACCACACCAAATGAGCCTCGGCCTCGGTTGAAACTCTCATTTGATCACTTCTGTTAGGCCATTTTTTAAGAACTCTTGTTTTTGCAGTCTGAAACCTTTCATGTAGTGAAGTGATGTCTGTGACATTTGCCAGTGTGGGATGATTTGAGGATGACTAGGTGTTTTGAAGCAAATTCCATGTGTCATTCCTAATGAGCGTGATTATTAAGCATCGAAGTGGAAACTAATTTTTAAAGAAGTATTTAAGGATGATCAGCTCATTTGCTCTTGTGCTATGCTGCCCATATTTATCAATACCCATTGATAGGCATTTAGCTTATCAGTATTTTCAAGTCATACTGATACTTTAAAAATTGAGTTATGATTAAAGTTTATTCTAATTGCACACATTATGGTAATGATCATAAATAAACTTTGTTTTATTTAACTGAGAAACTTATATACTTTTTTTCACATCTAGAATTCTCAAGCAATATGATCACCCCAATATTGTCAAACTTATAGGCGTGTGCACACAAAGACAGCCTGTCTACATCATTATGGAACTGGTCCCAGGTAATGCTATTTGAGCAATTTACTTGATGACATTTTAATATCATGTTTTATTGCATTTTTATGTTCAGTCTCTTTGATGTTTCCTTGTAAAGTTTTCAAGGAGTTTTGCATGACATTTTCCTGATAACAAAGCCTACAAAAATGTTCAATATTTTTATAGCTTCTTGAAAAACCAACATTTTTGAGACAGATTTGTTAGACTGTAGTTCCACGTGGAGTTCAGTTATGGATAATGTTTGTGTATAAAGGGTGCTTAGAAAAACTGAGCATTAGTGTGACTTGATAGCACTGCAGGAACCATCTTCTGTCTTGTCCTTGTCTGCCATTTGTAAACCCATCTCCACACATTCTTTCACGGCCACTTGTGAACTATGTGTTGTGTTCATGTGTGGCTAACACAAGGCTGGGAATCTTCTCGGGACATTTTCATGCCTCTAGCTCTTTATCACCTTATAGCGACAAACATGGGCAACCTCAAACTGGCGTGGTCTGTTTAAGGTTTTTCTTGGTTCTCTTTCTCCCTGTTGACAGAGATAAACAGTTTACAGTGCTTTATAACCCAAAAGCGTTTGCTTGGCTCTTTTAGTATCTACCTCACTTATTTTAAAAGAAAATTATTTGTAACTGTAACCCAGTGCTGTAGATTCCCTGGTCAGTGTGACCTGTAGAATGCTTCCACTGGTTTGGGTTAGCATCCTGTCTTATCACACTACTTTGCCTGCTGCTGAAATACTCCATCTATTAACATAGATTCTCACTAACTTATTCAAAATGGCACTGTCTGTGATCTGTACGTGAACGAGCACATTCTAAAAACTTAGGAACAATTGAATAGCATAGAGTTATTAATAGAATAGGATGTTTAAGCATAAATGCATGCTGATATTTGTGTAGGTACAGATGAAACTCTTGGTTAGTAAGAAATGCTACCAAAAAAAGCTTAGATTTGGGAGTAGGCCAAACTTGAAGAAAAGTAACTCATTAGCATGGGTGCCAGGTTCAGATGGCAAACATGAGCTGGATAAAACCCAAGACAGTTGTGTAGCATATCCAGACACACGTATGGCAGTGCAATGGCGAGTATACACTGCTGTTCTGTACACGTTACGAAAGGGAACACCTTCGAGGCAGCAGGCTCTGGTCTCTCTGTGCCATAGCACTGCTCCTGTCTTGACTTTTCCTGTTTATTTAACTGGTGATTGTTTCCCAGTTACCAGTCACTTCTACCCATCTGCTGACATAATTGTAAAGCATTCCCCTTAGTAAAATTTATGTGGTTTATCTGATCAGTATTTTAGTGTATTTTCTTTGCTTGTTTTTTTCTTTTCTTTTCTTTTCTCTCTTTACTTTGCAAACAGCACCCAAGCACTTTCCACTCCTGTGGACATCCTTGGAGATAAAACTCAGCAGTATGATTCATTCAACTTGATGCCTGCCTTGATTGACAAGTGTGTAGCTTGTAATAAACTTCTGTCGTCTAGGAGCTTAAAGTAACTCATTTATTACCTCACCGTAGTGTCCATTAGAAGTTGAATTTTGACTGGATTTTCTCAAGCTTTTTTTTAAAAATGTGAGGTCTAGCTCTTATCTAGGGACTTTTGGGACTAATCTCCTATCAGGATTGCTCAGGTATTGGCAGACTCCTGTCCTGTCTGTATGGCCTGGGGTTCCCACATGTTCTGTGTGTCTTCACATCACATGTTTGGCCTGCCAGACACTCCATAGGTATTAGATTTCTCAGATTTACATTTTCCTTACCTGCTGGGGACTTGTTGTGATGAGACTGAATCCACTTAGATAATGGTCCTGGAAGAAGGTCAGCTCTGCCATCTGACTGAACATATGTATGAGAGTGATAGCTAGTGTTCATAGTATCCCGGGTTTAACATGGAGCATGTGCGACACCATCTTTCTGTCCTGCCTACCACAATAGATTTTGCTACATTTTCTAAAAAACTAGTTTTGTTGTGGAATCTAAAACCCTATTAATGAACTTTCCTTGCAAGTTTATATTAAGCCCATTGGTTGATATGCAATTAAAATGTGTCTTTTGCCCATGCATGACTCTGCAGCATGATGGCTGAGTCATTTGGAGAATATCAGGTCATTAGCATATACAGATCTTTCTGATGGTGACACAGTTCATTTTATGATATCCAAGGAGCACATTCATTAATGTCACACATAATCTCATTAAGAAAGTAATGGGGACACTCTCAGGCTCATGGTAACAAAAGCCTGTTTTCTAAAATTTTAATTTTATTTTGAAAGATTTTTTTTTATCCCTGGACATAAAACTTATTAGGCTTTTTCTTTAAAGAGTGAAGCTCACTTCACTTTTGAGAAAATAACGGCCAAACATCTTCACTTTATAACCATGATTTTTTTTTCTTTCCTTTCTTTTTAAAAACTGACTTAGTGGTCTATGTTTGATACACAGACTAGTGTGTATAAAGTATTTATTTATTGACATGTATATAATCCTTTGAGCCCCTTACCCCAACAAGGCGATGGACACATCTGACACCCTCCTATTCTCTGGTCCTTCCCTGTGATTCCTCCCTGGCTTTTCTGCAGCACCCCAATCAGCCACTGTTACACTGCCTGTCCTGTCGGTTAGCATCTCTTAAACCTCTGTGAAAATAGCATCATATAGCATATATTTATTCTTTTTTCTAAAGTCTTGTTCTTAGAGAAATTATGAGATTAATTCACTTTTATGTTTTACTTTTTACTTAGCATACAAAGTAATGTTTTGTGTGTGACATTTTTCTACATATTGTTGTACCTTGCTTAAATTCGTCCCTTTCTCTTCCCTGCCTTTCTTCATCTTCATTGGTCCCTTCATTCTCCCTAATAGCTTTTCTCCAGCTTTCGTGTGCCGTGTGTGTGTGTGTGTGTGTGTGTGTGTGTGTGTATGTGTGTGTGTGACACTTTTGCCTAACATTTTATAATTGCCAATATTTTGATTGATGGCTGTCATTTGTTCTACCCATGTTATTATTGTATCCATTTCAAACAAGGTAGTAACTGCTTTGCAACTGTCCAGTGTGCAAACCATTTCTGAAATGTATCTGCAAAGATTTTAATGGCCCTGCCCTTGTCAGAGAAATAAGCCCTCTGGAATCATAAACCCAAGTATGTATTTGAGAATTCCAGTTTAAAGTGAATATTCCAAGATGACCCATTTGCATTGTCTCTTGAGTTATGAATACTTTACCTGCTTGCTTCCTGATTGTTGGGTGAATAACACTGAAGGTCAGTTCTAAATAGCAGTGGGGAGTAACAACAGGAGCAGGAAGGCTTTTCCATAAGGTGGCCCTCATTTCGTAACTCAAATGAAGGCATGGGTTTCATTTTGGTTTTTGACAAATGACGGACTTAAGGCGTCCATTGCTCGTTTTGTGTCTGGTCAGATCCGCAGTGCCACAGAGAGCACAGCAGGCATCAGCTCGAACACTGGGCGACCAAGACAACAGTTTAGGATGGCCTGAAGGCCTCTTCACTGCAGTTTGGCGGCTACCCCTTCTCTTGAATTCATATCTGCCTGAAGTGAGGGAATATTGGTTCTCAGGTCACACAGAAACTTGGTCTTTGACAAACTCCCAAACTAAGTTTAAAAATGACTTATACCTTTAACACTCTTAGAATTATTGTAGAGTTTTTTGAAGGTTTTGAATATTATAAAAATATATCTCAGTTTAATAGTATGATTTAAAAGACAAAAGCAAGTTCATTCCATTTCTGTCGTCTGAATATTTGGGGTTAGGAATTCAGACACGGTTATTAACATCTATCTCATAAGCACCTCTGAGCTTCTGGAGAAGCCTTTCAGTTGCCAGAATTCCTCCTTTTAATTATTCTGCTCTGTAATTTCTGCAGCTAAGTTTCAGTACATTTTTTTGCCAAAGGAGTAAATTATTTTTAAAAGTAAGAATTTTACTCTCCTCCATGTTGAACTTTAATGTTTTCATTTCATTTTTACATTATCAGTTTCAGTCATGTGACCTCACAGCTCTGAAGTCAACTGAGAAATCCCTGGCACTGACAGCTGCAGGTTACTGGTAACTAGGTTCTGACATTTGTTTCTTCCTCTCTTCATAGAGAAAGGGCAACCCAGCTGACAAAGAACTAAGGAGCGTGGCTCCTGACTCGCTAAGAGAGAGCTAAAAGTATGAAGGGACGTGTTTCCTTACATAAAGTTGCCAGTTAAATATCACTCCTCAGTCAGTAACCAAGAAAAAGGACAGGAAAGTAATTCTCAAATTAATGTTCATACGAAACTTGTAGTTGGTATATGTGGTTTAATTTTTTGATGTTTTGAGATAGGGTTTCCCCATGTAGCCTTGGCAAGCCTAGTACTGATTTTGTAGTCAAATTAACCTCATACTCACTAACACATGCCTGCTTCTGCCTCTGCCTCTAGAGTGCTGGAATTACAGGCATAAGCTACCATATTGGTATGAAGTTTTTAATGTTACAAATAAACAAAATCCTAATTCTGTGGAATTTATTTTACTTTTTTTATATATGGTAGAATAAATTTGATAATCTATGTTAAGAGAAACTAGTACACTGAAGATTTCAATTTGAGAGACTAAATGATTCTTGTTAACTGATACTGTAAATTACATATTTGCCTGAATTTTATAATCCAAGTATGAGTGTGCCTAGTTGGCATTATTAATATCACAGGTGATACTTTTGATAGAACACGAGATATTGCAGTCAACTTCAGTAAGATGGCATCTGGTAGCCTGTTTCTCCCCTGCAGCTGTTTGCTGCTAGCAGTCTAGCGCAAACACGGTAAGTTAGTTGACGCAGGTCAGCATCACTAACATATGCTGACATAATCAATAACCTGTTGACATCCCCCCCTGCCTGTGTTCCCTTGAGTCTGCAGTTCCCTTCTAGTGGCCACACCCTTCTTTAGTGGGTGTTGTTTTCCAGAGGTTGAGTAAAATGCCAAAGACATCAGAAGAAGAAAAGCATTGCGTGTC